TCACCATCAAGAGCATCACCAGCTTCTTATAGTCCTCATGATGATGAGCGATCTTCCATCCTCAAGGACCTCAGCCGCAGCTGGGTCCTCCTCCATTCTCTTCTCCAGCGACTTGCGCTCCTCTGAAAATGACAACAACAACATGTACCTGCCTCACGAGCAAGGCGCCCCTCTCCTCCTACCAGGAGTCTGTGCTTGGTTGATCTTGGTGCAATACCAAATCTTGATTCTGTTATTCACAAGGATCTTGCAGAAATCGAAGTGCTTGTATTTGAAGATTTGTACGAGTTTGTTCTCAACACTCTGCGAGTCGGGCAGCCTCAAGACATCGAGAATAGACTTCTCTACAGTGATGACCTCAGAGCTATCCTTAACGCGCTTGCCCTGCCAAAGGTAAGTGAATACAAAGAGGAATGGTATGGACCTACTAGTTCCCTCTGGAGCCAATGAGAATGGATCTTCTGAACTGGCAGGTCGGTGCTCGAGGTGTTCCTCCGTTTCGAGGCCGGGCCGTCGTCAGCATCATCACCTTCCCCACCAGCGCGAATGCCGGTATCCTCATCGTCATCACCGCCTGTAAAAAATATATGCCATACCCGCGGATCGAACCCGCAACCTCTCGCATGAAAGCCTATCGCACTAACTACTACCCCGCTTTCTTCTTCTCCTCCGCCCTCCAGCCTCCATCCTATCATCCGCATCCGAGTCCTCCGAGTCGCTGCTAGATTCATCAGACACCTCGTCAGCGTACAACATATCATCATCACCTCCCATCTCTAAACCACAGCATCACCTATCATAAACCCCCCAGTGGTAGTACTACCATCATTCTCATCATCCTCGTCAAACGTGACAGCAACACCTGCCGGATCATCCGCCGCAGCACCAGCCAGGAGAGCTGCATCAACATCCTCCCCCCCCGCCTCAGCTACCCCCTCTTCATCGTCATCCACTGCGAAATCATGGATTTGTTGGGAGAGCCTTAAGAGCTGAGTATAGAGCTCCGGGGTCAAGGATCGCGGGGGAAGCACCTGATACGTATCATTACCAGCGATATAGCGTTCGCCTTGCTACCTCTTCAACGTTCTTCTGTTTAGATGAGTCCTTCTGATCAGACTTCAAAGCCATGAGTATCTCATGGGCCGCCTCCCTCAAGACAGTACTAGTCTCACCAACAAGTACTGTAGACAGGACTGATAGCATCTCATCATAAGGCCTCTCTGATGCCCGAGACTTTGGCCTGTAAAGCCCAACATCCTCTCTACCCTACCATCAGCTATCCTCCTACCTGTATACATTATCCCCTGCCTCATCGACTGTGAGCACTGTCTCCCCCTTGGTGATATCAATACCCTTCCGACGTTTATGGAGGCCCTTGTCCCCTCCGGCCTCGGTCACGGCTTTCCTATATTGGACAAGACTAAACCAAACTAAGTCGTAGGTAGTTCGTACACATGCCGGCGCTTAGCAGCAAGAGCAGCCTCTGGCTTCGGCTTAGTCTTCAACACTTTATCGCCCATAGTGTGCATTTTATGATATCGCAGAGTCTCAGGCTCACCTACCATACGCGAGAAT